GTCGAAGGACCACACGAGCGCTGTGTATAAGAAGTCTCTTCGCATTTTGTGGGCATTGAAGCGAAGTTTTTCGATGTGGACGGAAGAGTTAGTTTTAAAACTGTATCCCACCATGATCCGGCCTATATTGGAATATGGTGCACCAGCTTTCTCCCCACTTACGAAAGACGAAGCCCGAAAGCTCGAACGTGGCCAACACCTCGTTACAAAGATGGTTCCCAGTCTCTGGAGTCTTTCTTATTCTGAGAGATGCAGAAAACTGAAATTGTTCACACTTGACTACAGACGTCTCCGGATTGATCTCATCTATGTTTTCCGTGTTTTGTGCCTAAACCATTTTCCGCAGTTGATGTTCTTGTTTGACATTTCAACAACCAACATCACCCGAGGACATCGATTTAAACTTACTATCACACGCATGGACAATGTGCCTCATGGGTACAGTTTCTCTCGCCGCGTTGTGTCATTTTGGAATCGTTTACCGGCAAATGTCGTTCAGCCAGAAACAGTTCAAATTTTCAAACGTAATTTAGATGAACATTTATCTGATCTATGCTTCTGTGAGGATATCTCCTCCGCTCTGGTCCCGAAAGTCAGCTACTCCACTAGCGGACCAAGGGCGTATATGGAATGATATTCGCATTTTTTCTCTCGATGGAGTGTACACAGAATTTTTTCTTTTGCTCCAAATATATGATTATGATTCTGATTCTAATAAAATGACCAAATCCTTATTCAGGAAGCGGCTATAACGGTGTGAATAAATAAAATGAAGCAAAAATAAGGGTTTCATCCACTTACCACAAATTTGAAGGGGTGGTTCTAGCTCCAGGAGCATCGGTTGCTGCAAAAATAATTCTCTGGATCTGTGACAAAGCCATCTTATTTCTTCTTCTTTCATGTTCACCGGCGCTCCAGGCCTATTACATCTTGCTTTAATAATGTGGTACTGAGATTTTTCTCCAGCACTCACCTTGAAGCAGTCGAGCGATAAATGCTTCTAGATCAAACGTGGGAGGGAACATTGTCACGGATTAACTAAACACTTTCAAATTCACGGCAACATTCGACCTTGAATTCAAGCTTAATATCTCCACGTCAGCCATGCCAGCAAGTTGCATATTTGGGAGCACGATGGACCAGTATGTCACTGCGTACGCAACAATTGCAATCAGGCTCACAATCCGGGAGAAACATTTAAACGGACTGCGAAAGATACATTTTAAGAGCGCTAAACTTAAATTCGTCCGCCGCCGAATATTTGCAGACCCAAATTGATTTCGCCGATTCTATAGGGTATTCGAATGTTTGAATTTAACTGTGAACTTCATGGGGGATTATTCTAATCAATTCGCATTTTCCAGTGTCATGACGCGCTGAAAGTTGCGGTTTTGAACCAGAGCCGAAAACACTGCTATGTAAATGTTCTACACATTTGCAACTGGAGACAGGAAGCGTAGTCGTACAAAATGGTGTGATCTTATCTAGAACAGAGTATTTGGTCCCCTGTCAGTAGTCGTCAGGGTCAAATCTGAAGATTGAAGATCAATTTCGAATTGTGGATAGTTTATGTTGGGCGTGCTTTCGAAGTATAATGCATTTTTCTGCAAAACCCCTGTGAGTGAAATAAAATGTTACACTTCTATGCATATGTGCTTAGTCCAAAATCACCCTCATCTACATCACCTTTTGGTGATTTGTTTTAATCGATCTTTAGGACATTTGGCTCACACTTGGCATTGAACTTCGTGTGCTATGCCTTCGGAAGTGGCTGCACAACTGTTCGCTGAGAAATTGGTGGCTGAATCGTATTCATGCTGCACGGCACTTGAGAGGGCCTTAAAGCAATACATAAAGAGTAACGGTGCGGTATTTTTGCGTTCATCCAGTAATCAAAGCGCCAACGCTGTTTGGCGTTACGAATGGGTGTACTACAAATGCAACGGGCGACCTCCGAGACCAACGGAAAGCTGAGAAATCCGAAGAAACTGGTAAACTCAGCTTATATTCCTGTAAAAAAGTACGCGAAGCACCAGCTGTCCAATGCGTTTTTGTCTACGAAGGCAAAGAAACTAACTGGCAGCCACCTCCTAATTTCTTGAACACAACCACAAGTTGTTAAAGTTTCTGTACGACCGGCTTCCAGTTAATCGACAGCTAACCGAAGACCAGTTAAGCACCTGCAAGGCCCTTCTGAACTATGGAACTTTTTCGCGTGTGGTGAGGCAGTTTGTGGCGGATAAATTCGGCAAGACTCTTACCGTTCAGGATACGTACAACTACCACCGGAAGTGTCGACCGTCTGTGTTGAGTTGGTGCCGCAAAGTTTGGATTTAATGTGGAAGATGATATGCCCCGGTCCTGGCAAAACTTCGGGAGACCGGAAGCGTGCTTGTGTGTCAGCCGAAGGGAGGTCACTATAGCCACATATGCTTCTCACGATGGCGGCAGATAGCGTTGTTCCGACGCTTTCCGGATGTAGTGAATGTAGACGGAACGCATGCAACAAGCCACTTTGGGTAAGTTTACTAAGGCATCTCATATTCGGCATGTAGATATAAGCGGTACACCTTCTTGATAACGGACGACATGGGAACCGGTCGTCCGGTTGTGTATGCATTCGTAGAGAGCGAACCGCCAGCTCCCATGCGAAAGCTGTTCAGTTTATTCATAGAAACGATGGGCGAAATTTATCCGGTTAGGACTTTTTAATGGACAAGTTTGTGGCGCAAATGAGTGCAGCAAGATTCTTGTTGGGCTGCGACGTTATGCCTTGCTATTTTCTTCTCCACAGAGCCATGTAATTTTTGTCATAGACACATTCCGCGAACAACCGGCACATATTTCACCGTCTGGCTTCCTTAGACAAGGCCGTTCAGTAGATATTTTGTTCATCGCATTACAAGTACACAGATCTCGGCAACACCTGCGGCTTCTGCGACGCACCGATCTTACGGCCCACTGGGCCACACACGCACAGTCCGGAATGGTTCACTTCAGTAATATGACCAACAACCGAGTGGGGAATACGAACGGCCACCTTCAAGACCGGGTGCACCACTCCGACACGTTGAAGCATGCAAATCATAAGGTGCCCCGGCACGCCGAGTGGCTCATGCGGGAGTTCGAGATGCATATGTCGTACCACTGTGACAAAGGCAAATCCTGGAGGGTGAAGCCTATGTTCCTAACGTGGTCTGTCGAATGACAACATATGCATGCCCTCTCGTTCTGAGGCACTCGGGACCGCGACCGCCGCGGCTGCCGTATGAAAGTGTTGGAACAAACAAGGGGAGGTCAAGCTACGTAAGCTAACTTATAGTTCGTGGTGCAATCACCTGGATGCACCCAAACTGTTGACACCTGTACTGGAGAATGCACATGCCCTTTCTACCAGGCGATGTGACTCACCTGCATATATGCGTTCTCTGTATTTCGAGATCAGTCTGTTGTGAGCAGTAAGAACTATTTATCGTTCACTGTTTCTCAGCCTGCTTCCCAATCCACCAGCAGTGGCTCTCGGATTACACACTAACGGAGAAAGATGTACCCACTAAACTTGTTCCCAAGTCACCATCGACAGCTTTTGATGGCCTTCGTAAACAACGGAACCGAGTGATGGATTAGCTTCAGAGGCTGAAACCCGGGAGGGCCACAGTCATCATTGAACGATTGATTGTTCAGGAGTAAATCCTGCTGCGTCAAGGCTCAAAATCTGCAACCGACGGCCTGCCGTTGGTGGTCGTGGACACTGCCCCCCAACTCAGATGGCGGTCTAGGAACGCAGACTTGGGCTTTTGTGTGCTCTGTGACCGGCCGACTACTACCAGTGACCGCTGGTGTGCAACGAATGGCGTATGATATCACGTCGGCTGTTGTGATGGTGAACCTTGCCCGCTGTGTGGTGGTGCTCTTCAGGCTTTTCCCAAAGGTGAGTCCGCAGGAAAGTAAATTACTTTTGGTTCTTAGCTCTGGGTACATCCGGAAGAAGCGAGAGTGTGCCTGCTACCCGGTCCGAAAAAGGGCGCCTTATGATGTTGACCTGAACCGAAGCACAGAGTCCCAGCACAGTGTGTCCCAGAAGTCTGTGTGTGTCGGTGTTTCCGAGTCCAAAGAGGGACTAATCGAAAAGCGATGCGTAACTAACGGCTAACTAACTAGATGACTAACGCTGTAGAGCTAGACGAAAGAGACGAAGATGATTTCATGTGACCCATCAGCTCCGAACAATTAGCGTGTCAACGAGGCCCATGCATTACATGTAGGTCTCAAATTTCTTACGGGGTGTAGTAAGCAGGCATGCGAAATTACCGCCGAAGATGGCGTTGTGTTAACAGGCATCTGCGACAGCATAGACGCTGAGGTGCATTTCGGGGTAAGTATCTCTACCAGTTTGTCCGCCGCCCACCTTATGTTGATATTTTGATAACCTAAATTATATCTGCCTCTCATTTCAGGACGTCAACGGCCAAATGACAATTCCTCACAAAAATAATCATGCTCCTCTCGAAAAGACACATGTATACTTTAAAATGATTAATATATTTCAGCATTTCATGACGTCCATTTTGAGTTTCCTTGGTGCAGATTATTGGGTGCTCCCGACCTCGTGTACCCCTATCCGCTTGCTAATCGCGTGCGTCAGTTAGGTTCGTTCAGCTGTCCGATATGATGGACGTAGGTCCCATGATTCTAATCGGTAGACCTAAAGGTCTTCCTAGCATAATTCGCAACCTCTAATAGAAAACTCTGCTTTTTGGCAGCAATCATACATAAAGTTAAGCAAATAATAAACGTGGACTACGGAATTCCAGGTGGCAACAGGAATCATCGACCAAAATTTGCTTGCACCAATGTACCTACGCATGTTTTGCATTTCCAAAGGCCGTTTAGATTCTAGAATGTTTAGGGAATTTTTCGGGTGGAAAATTATTTGAAAGTTTCGTCCATTGTAAGTGAGTTAACCCATTCCACACTTCGCAATGTTTTATTACGTCAGGCAACGTATTCACAGTCGGTGGTGTTTAGTGACCTTGAGGAGTTGCTCACCTAAACAAATCGCAATTGTAGATTATTTTCACTAATACAGGAACATGTACATTATACGTAGACATTTTACACTATGAGTTGGAAAGCCTGAAAATGCCGTAGATTTCGAGAACTTCATCCCATTGCGCGAATACTGAGCGGCTTTATGGTGTCATCTGGTCCGAATCAGGGTCTGAGGGCGGTCTCAGAAAACTACCTTGGTATTCACCTAGATACAACCATACGCAGAGAGAGATTCTCTCTCTCCGTTGTCGCTCCATGCTGGATCAGTGTTCCTCCACTATTAATCTCCGCTTCGGAGTCTTTCCTTACCCCGGCTGAAAGTTAAACAGAGTGCAAAAATCCACCACAGCGACATGAGTCTGTTGGGCGAGTTTGTTACCCTCCAGGTGTGAAATAAATTCGCGCGTCCCTTTTAGACCTACATATCGCCAGTTTTTCGGAATGTATCCTGAATTTTCTTAATCCTTCAGTTTACAGGCTATCCCAGCTGGACTCCACTCGAACGAGGGACTGTCTAAAGTATCTTGACCCAGCTTCCCTATGCCGTGAATCCCCAAGTGCGCACAAACAGAATGATATACAGTCTCGTCTGATAGGTCCTTCTTCCAGGCTTCCGAAGTGTCTGGACACCATCCTCCACATGGCCTGTCAGTTAGCCTCTACAAAGTCTCCTACCCTCCCAGCCATCAAAAGACCTCGGGCACGTTACGTGAGGCTGCAGAGTTTGCGCCCCCTTCGATTCCACGTGCTCATGCAATTCACACAAACAACGGCAGCATGATTAATTACCACACATACGCCAGAAAGGCCGCAATTCTAGCTCCACAGTACACACACATTCATTTCGAGAATTAAATTGTAAGTTGTATTTTAATTGATTTCTTCTGGCAACCACCTGGCTTGATCGTCAAACGGACCTCTAAGCAAGCAGAGGATTTACCGCCAACAGGGATCAAAGCAATCCGAGCTGTGA